CTATGATACAAACATGGCCTAATGTGCGTCAGCTAACCTTACAAAGAACGCACAGAGTGACAGACGGCTATGTGGACGGAGGCGGGAGGCGGAGTGGAAGACGTGGCACATTTCACACATTCCTGCTAGAGACTCTCACATGGTTGGACAGACAGGGATCAGACCTAGTCGGCTCTCAGTTGAGCAGCTTTAATCACCCACCTGGAAGTGCACATTTCCAGGTGATAACAGTGATGCTGCAGAGGTGCTAACAGCTAATGGCGCCACACACGATGTGCTGACTGCAATAAATTCAGTGGTCAGGGGCGGGCGGGGGTGGGTGGGTGTTTAGAAGGACAGACATTTGGCATAAACAGGTTAAAAAAAGAGACACTGGAGATGATCTCCAATGCTGATGGAGGGCGATCGATGAAAATCAGCAAAGCATTATGGAGGCCCTCTGATAAATGAACGGAGAGGAGAGCTAATTGATTAGCAGTGATCAAGTTTAAGGCTTATGACAGAGGATGGTCTTCAGCTGCTGTAGCCCATCTACTTCCCTGTACATTGTTTGACACAATGTACAGGGTAGGCCTGAGCGATACGGCCTTAAAACCTTATCACGATATTTTATGTTACTATCAAGATAACGATAAAATTGGTGATAAAAACACAACAAATTCTTTGAAATCAATCTTAGGGAACTACAGCGATAAATCCATGCTACAGCAATGCCCACAATAAAAAAATATAATAATTTTAAATAGGATTCTTCAGGACAAAACTTACATTAATAAGTGTGATTTATATTACAAAACATCCAGCTGTTAACACATTTTATCATATTCTTTAAATATGCCAATGCCCCAATGGATAAAACTGAAAGAAGAAAAATATTGAAAATAAACATTACCAATTAACCCATTTCTTTTAGTTTTTTACATCAGTAATTAAATTTTTTTGTTTAGATAATAAATAAAAGTCTTTATCAGCACTAGAAATGTATTAGATGACGACACGATAAATCACTAATTAGCCCATCACTAATCCAGAGTGGAGATGTCCCGATGCAACCTTTTGATTTCCAATACGATACCCATATTGACCCGATACGATATCAGCACGACTCTTACTTTTTTATACTGGAGAATGTTAGAAAAGGCTGATCAAGTAATATTACTAAAATAGGGACTGAAAGTCAAAAAAGAAAAGGCATTAAAAAAACTAAGCCAAGTAAAATTAAACAATGAGTTACAGAAACGCTTAACAGTAGCAGAGTGTTTCTATCAGCATGATTTTAGATGCAGGCTAATAAAACCTGATATTTTTTTGGCGAATATTGGAATAATATCCGTTATTAATATCAGATCGAGACAGCCCTAATTCAGAGACAGTATTTCTATGTACCAAGTCAGTAACGAGTGGCTTTTTCATCTACTATTGCTTCTATATCATCTGAAACCCGATTTGAACATCAGAACTGTCCATCTGCCCCCAACATCCACACCACGGTAAAAGCCTCCATAAGTCTCTCCCTTCCTAACCTTTTGATGCTCGGTCTGAATTACAGCAAATCATTTTTTATTCTGCCTAGTTAATAGTTGCAATGTGACTGCGCCATTAACTAGTTTAAAAAGCTGAAATCAAACTTCAAACTCTATATGCAGAAGTCTACCTCTACGAGTTTTTAATTGGACATAAAATCAATAAGACTGATCCATTATCAAATTTTGATTCTCCATTTTCACCAGGCTAATTTAAGCTCAGGACAAAAAGGATTTCACTTGCCTTACATTTGACGGAAATCTGTTGGTATTACATCTGGCAGAGGCGAATGGGGCCAGGCGGACCTTCTGAAATTAGCCCCACTTCCATTACGGTCTGAAAGCGATCCTTGTGGAGTTCGGACCGTGCTTAGATCGGTTAACCATGCCAAGCTCAGTTACTTGTGACCATTTACACATTACGCTAGTACGGCTCCTCGCCTCCTAGTGATGATCTATGGTACTACTGCCCTCTAGAGGGAACCAAGCAAATCAACATGGCGGCGCTAACATTCAGGAAGTTTGGTTATAATTGTGATAATTCGTTGTTTGTGGAGAGTCAGGCAAAGAAGGCAGCTTTTGGGAAGTGGATATGACAAACGATAGTCTAATCAGGGCTTACAGACACGGGAAACAATGACAGACATTGAGGTTCATCACACTGCTAAGCAGAATCATCACTGGAAATCGTGTGGCAGTAAATCTAGTACTTTTAGGAATGTCTGAAATGTCGTGATTACGGAGGCTGACTGTAAAGAGATAACGCAGTCTGCTCATGTGCTCTTTGTTATCTGAGAACCGAACCAGAACTGAAACGCACTGAGCCCTACTGATGAACTTGTACCAATTTAGCGAAGTTCGGTTGTGTCTGGCACAGTCCGGTTCAGTTTGGCATGCAATTTACACTCAAAACGTTATCTCTGTTACCATGATCGGACAGATCTTGGAAAAGTTTCAAAATGGTAGTGTAAACGGGGCTATTTTCTGCTCCTGTGTTTGCATAGTTCCCACCAGGATAGTTTATTTTGCTCAAAGCTACAGCACAACATGAGAGGAAGGCCATAATGAAAGAAGAAAAACATCCAATTCAAGGAAAATATATTAGCTTTAAGTTCATAGTAGCAGCAAATGCAGGTTTACAATTAATGCCTGGCTTTTATATGCTGGTGGAATTCCGCATACAGGAACTCTCTACACAGGAAGTGTGTCGGAAAAAAAATATTATCGCATCATGAAGGATCAGATGCAATCAGCAGATTTTGGCCTTAACAGCTCCCGTACATTATACAGACCTGATAACTCTTAGCTAGTTTTCAGTTTGCCCAATGTCCTCAAACACTCTCTGTACAACATGCTGTCATGGTCAAGCACAACAAATGGACACAAAATTAGAAAAGAAAAAAAACAGAACGAAGACTGAGGTTTGAAAACAATAATAGAAGACCGTCTTTCTCCTAGGAAGCAAAGGAGGAAGATGGCAGGGCTGTACTGCAGTACTGGGCTGTAGGAACCAGTGTCTTTGTGTGTGCCCTGTGCCCTGCAGGGCTTACACTAACTTTAGGTCTGGCAAAACAGAGAGATGTATTCTAAGCGGAGCCCTTTGAAGGCCAGGGTATGGCTTTGATGTGCTCTGTAGAGAACGGTGCATTCATGTTAAAATGAGAGAGGCAGAAACATACAGAAAAGCTCAAACACAAAAACAATCAGTATGCACTTCAAAGAGAAGCTGAACGAGGCCTTCCTGTATGGACCTCATTGCTGCAGGCATCACATCTCCCTCTGTGTTTCAGCCGAAAATCATTTGCTGATGTCACCTCAGCTCTTCATATTCTGATGTTGGAGTAAGTCCCCGCCAAGTGTTGCATCATGCTCGGCTGCGCTGATCCAGCCTGGAATGCGACTGCGGAAAACAAACGCCCTGCCTTCCAACCCTCATGCTCATACAATCTAGATCAGCTGCACTGTTATCACAAGGACAATGCATGAGCCTCTCTGCTACAGACAGTTACCCTTTGGCTACATTAAATCCTATGGTCTCTTATCTTCCCTCCGCGGCCGGCTGGTATCTCCACCTGCAATCTGTGCCCTTTAGTGACCAAACAAAGCTTTAATATGGATTTCCTTTCAATGCAAACTCTTCGATACCAACATCCTCTGATCCGGCATCTTTAGCAGCAGTTTCCCCTCACAAACCCAAAAGAAAAGGTAAAAGGTAAGCTATAGCGAACCATCGTGGCTGGCTCCGACTGGAGCTGAAACAATTAATCTGATTAATCGTAATTAATCGATTATTGAAATAATTCTCAACTGATTCAGTAATCGATTAATTGTTAACTGGAGTAAAGATGCTGTAAAACATTCCTTTAGCTGACAGAGCAGCCCATTTAGAGCAGCAATTATACCAAGATTGTCAAAAAAAAAATATATATATATAAACACTTTGCTTTTGTTCTTTTTGTTCGTTTTGTTCTATTCAGAACTCCTCAAGTGGAACAATTTTAGTTTTGCCTGGTTTAATTTCGTAAGATATCTTCTTCAAGAAACCTTTTTCTATCCAATTATTAATCGTTTAATTATAAAAATAATAGAACAGATTAATCAATTTGCAAAATAATCATTAGTTGCAGGGCTAGCTTTGACATAAATCCAGCTTTATTTTATATTGTTCTAATGCTGTAACAAACTTTCCAAACTGTACATTTAAAAAAAAAAACTTTTTCATGTCACATGCACAATGTTGTACTTTTTTCTTATATAACAAATAAACATTCGGTAGAGGGTGAAACTGTAAAGCCTGAGAAAAATTATTTTCTTCAGCAGCTCAACATTAAATTAATGATGCATTACAAACAGCTTCATGTACAGTAGTTTAAATCTTTGTACGAATGCAGCGAAGGAACACGGCAGAGTAATTAGAGGAAGAACTTTGGAGATCCAGGAAGAAGTTTGGGTTAACAAGAAAAAACTGCAGCTTTAAACATCTCATACATCTCTGTTCAATTAGAACCCGGCTGTCGGGATAAACCAGCAAATTACGCAGCAGCTGTTTGCTATAAATAAAACTAGGCTTAGGGCTGATTAATTATTAACAGTAACTACTGGCAGGGCGAAATGTATTCAACAACAATCTAAGTCAGGTGATCGCAAAGAAAATAAGCTGTTAAGATTAGAGATGTCATGACTTGATTCTAAAATCAGTCAAAAAACAAGGATTGGAATAAAATCTTTGATATTAGCATGCTGATAGAAACATCCCACTTCTGCTTAAAATATATGCTTGTCACCCATTGATTAAAGATAAATGGGGTTTATTCAGGAATGAGTAACTCTAATTTAATGCTTTTTAATGCTCTTTTAATGCTCTTAGAAATAAATGTAATGCCTTAAACAAGTACCCATGATCCTCACATTGGAGACTTGGAATGTCTGCCATTCTCTAGCTTTTTCTCCGCCTCCAGCTTGTTTTCCCAACATACGGCTTTACGATTAACTGTAAGGGGTTATGCACAAACAAGCCGAACCAGTTAAATAAGTGTCTGTATTAGAATAAGATATTGTTTTTATAAACTTTTTATTTAATAAAGCATTTTAAATGCCACTAAAATCACATTTTAATGACCTGCGGAAACCCCATCTAAACTTTTCCTCTCTGTCTTTCAAATGTTCCACATTATAAAATAAGTAATAAGAGAATGTATGATTGGTGCTGATGTCATATCAGGTCAATATTGATAGAGGTGGAGCTTTAAGCCATAAGTCCAACCGTCGGTGGAGAAGCACCCGGTTCTGAGTGGAGGAGAGTGGGACCAAGCTGGGTGTGTGGGGACAGTGGGAACATGGTGGGAGTACAGGTAAATGGAAAGACAAACAGGAGTAAACTTAGGTTAACATTGGAGGAAAGCGGCTGCAAACAGGTTAGGGCTGAGGTGGCAGAACCACGGCAAAAATAGAGCTAAGAACACACAGCAATGATTTGGATCTACCAGTTCAGATGTTAGAATGGGCCAAATCTAAATCTAACTTTTCTCCAGTAGCTCAGAGGTGTTAAACCTATTTATATATTGGGTCAATTTAGTGTCATCAATTCCTTGAAGTCAGTCATTTCAGACTTTCTTTGACTGCTCTAGTATTACAACTTCACTCATGTTTATGCCATAGTTTGAGCTGCTTTGTACATTCATGATTTAATAACTAGCCATGTTTCTATCAGAGAGAATATCAAATAGGATTGAAATTGATAAACAACAAACTATGTACATCATCCCTCTAAATTGTCTAAAAAATGTTTTGAGTAATGATGAACAAATAATGAGCTAAAAATTACAAAAGAGCAAAAACGATGAACAAACGGTGACAGCTTAAGCCCAGATGGTAAACAAACTTTAATTTCTGTTTCTCCTCTTTCATTGTGCTGCTTCAGCTCAGTCTCAGCTTCCTGCAGGTTTGAACTTTAACTCAGATTGCAGCATCATTTTTTTTTTTTTATTGAGAAAACTAATTAAATATGCTGATGCCTGATACTGCATTCTGCCTTTTCTCTTTTAAATGTGACAGGAGCCTGTATGAATGGTGGGTGGTGCCAGGAGCACACTGGGCTTGTAGGCTGGGTGGGCTCCATGTCTTTTATTTGAGTTGGTAATCCAAAAGCCAAAAAGGCAAAATGTCGTCTGCTAGAAGGCTTAAAGACAAAGGTCCCCTTTACAGAAGCTTTAAAACCAGGGGGAAAAAAATAAAAATATTTTTTAATGTTTGCTTTAATTCTGTGCTATCAGAAAATTAAATTAACAAGCTGTTCAGACCTGCTTGAGAAGTAAATTCCAGAAAGCAAAAATAAAAGATTGCTTTTTCACTTAGTTTAGACACAACACACCCATGTCACTTTTCTTAGCATAAAGGAAATAAAAAGCATGCATATTTTTTTTTTTTAACTTAACAAAAGGAGGATTCTTTTCATATACGTTACTTTCGTCAATTTCAACCAAACCTCAGGGTCGTTTTGTATAAAGTAACTAAATATAACCAATTTGCTACAGAGGGGTCTGTGGGTATAATCCTGAAAAGTTTACTGGGTGATTGTGCTGGAAGCAAAGAATCAGCAGATCAGCAAAGGATGGACGGGGACCTGAATGGCTGATTGTCATGCTGTCGAGTCTTAGAAAGGGCAGGGCGAGCATTGTGATGCAAACATGCTGAGACAGAGAGTGGGGGAAGTGTGTTAGTTTGGGTCTAATGTAACCCGTAAGGTGTGTCTCTGTAAAGGGGGGTGCTCATTTTAGACCCCTTTGCTGTGTTGTTCATTTGGGAATTGATCTTTTTAGGTACAAAAAAGAAAAAAATCCACACCATCAATCTCCTTGATCAATGGATCAAAATATGGCAGTTTTATCACATAATCTGATGATGGAGTGTGTTTGCTTCCACCAGGCTTCATTCAGAATAAAGCATCTATGCATAAAACACCACTCTGGTTCAGAATGCACTTTAATTCTGACTGAGCTCACAAAGTGTTATTTAATTCCAAACGCTTCATATTAAGACAACTCATTTATAATATTCTTTTCAAAGTACTAAAAACAGCAGCCCAAACAGAACTGCTTATTATCCATTAATCATTAGGAACAGTCTACAGCTAACCGATGCCCTGATGGATGTAAAGTAATTTTATTTCATTTATAGAAAGTCTGCCATAAAGAAATTCCTCCTACCTCTGACCTTATAAAGTATTTTTGACTATTTTATCTGGAGAAATGATCAGAAATACTCAACTACCTAGAAAAATAAACCAATGCTTTGGCAAAGTATTAAGTAGTTTGCTTAAATGAAAGAAGAAATCACACTATTTGGGTACATACTGGAGGAACACACATGCAAACAAAGAGAACAAAGCACTCCCTGATTAAATTAATTAATTAATTATTGAAAGTGCAACTCTAGGATAAAACATTTTTTTCCAGCTTTACCCATGATAGGAATAAATGACTGAAATCTAAATCTGTAATCGGTTCAAACTTCTTTTTACTGTAAGTTAAAAATATATTTTTTCTGGTAATGTTCCAACGTCCCAATAAGTTGCTTTCTTTAAACTTTTCTTTCTTGTAAATGTGGCGAGCTTTAGTCTTTACATCAGATTGATCTGATCTTTATTCAGCATCATTTAAGTGATTAGTTTACCTGTGTAGTAAAGGAGGCAGGGGACTGCGACCAAAACCTCAACTCCCAGAATGCTCAGCAGCAAAGAGGTGTGTATAATCAGTGGTAACTTCAGAGCCAGAAGCAGCAGCAGGAAAACATTACCTGATACAGAGAAAAACAAGCACTTTACTGCCAACTTGTGGAGAACATGGACCTCTACAGAAAAATACATTTATGCACCTTGTACAATTTTTGATTTGCAAAAATCAAAACACTTAAAATTATTTTTTATATATTTCTATTCCACTTCACAATTATGTCCTACTTTTGCATCCTGATAAAAATACAGTGATGTTTAAGGCTGACAATATGAGTTGAGTGAGACAGAGAGCAGCGTGCGGGCCCACCAGTGGAGTGTGTGATGAGCGGCAGCTGCTGGAGCCTCCGCGTCTGTCTGTAAAACCTCAGGTACCCTCGGCTGCGGGCGCGGCTGTGGTGATGCTGCATCCAGAGGCTGTGCAGCAGCGTCAGCGCCCACAAAAACACCTTTCCAAACACGATGGCGCAGTCGCCTTTCACGCTGCCCAAAATATGCAAGCACACCTCCTCTTTGCCAAATTTTAACACGCACATTATACCCACACATAATGACAACACCACATACAGAACCTTGGAGGAAGACAACAGGAAAACAAAAAAGAGGGGTTTAGTGAAACAGTGTTATATAATCAAGGTGAAAAAGAAATACTAATAACAGTACATTACATACATGCATTAAAGACAGGACTCCAGAAGAACAGGTTGTTGGTACAGATTGAAACTCCCTCCTAATGGCTGACTGGAGGACATCAGCAGAGATCAACGGTCCGTCCACCAACGAGTCCTCCTCTGTGCTCCGTGTCAGGTCTGTTGACTGACCAGCCTGCTGAGAGGAAGATTCAATCATAGGACCTATGAGGCAATAACTGAGTTCTTCCTCATGTCTTTGTTTGTTTATCTTGCTAAAAAAGCAAAAGAAAGAACAATTTTGTAATTTTACTATCAGTGTTGTTGGTGCTGGAGCAGAGGACTTTCTAGCTAGGTTAGTAACATTGATATATGTATGTTTTGATAAGATAACGTGCTGTTTTATAAGCATTTGTGTTCATCCTTATTCAATAGAAAATAATCATTACTACAACTTTGATTAGATCGATAAATCAACTGACTGATGATAAGTTTCACCAACTATTGAGTGGAAATCTTTATTTTAATATCAATGTGTAGTCTCATAAAAGGTGGAGGGATATTGCGATGAAGTTGGGAAAAACAGAAAATCGACAAAAACTGAGTTTATTGATATAATTATTATTTTTCCTGGTATTGTTCAACCCTACTTCTGAAATTCGGATAAAAAGAAAAATCTAAACATAATATAAGATTAATTTAAATCATTTTCAGAAACAGAAATGAATGGCAGATCTATTTAGTTTGTAATATACGGTTTTATACTATTTTTAGTTTGTCTGAATGTTGGTTCTCGTGTATTTAACCTTCCCCCTGACACCTTTAGATAAGGTGTGATAATTAGCCAATCAAGCACAGTCAGTGATATCATGGTAATCACAGCAGATAAATGGAAACGTCTCATTCTGCACTTCTTTGATTTTCACCACAAAAGATTATGGCTCACTACAGACTTATACCTAAAATATCAAACGGGGCTTTTATTACAAGGAATAAAACCAGCTTCAGCTGTTGGATCTTGTTTAATGACACCTGCACACCAACTATACACCCAGATTCGGGTGGGGGATTCGTCATAAAATAATTATAAAGCTGTAGCTATCACTAGCAATAAACTTTTATTCCTTCCACAGATCTTTCAACTAATGTGTTTCTTGTGTGGGATGTCAATAACTGTAATAAATAAGCGGTCCTCTCAATATTTGTGTCAGTAATTACCAAAGTCAGCTTGGCATTCACTTTTTTTAACCAAATCAACTTATTTGCAGTAAGTCTATACTAGGGCTCCAACTAACAACTATTTTTGCAAATCGGGTGATTATTTTCCAATTAATCGATTATTAATATGATAGTAAAAGGTTCCTTAAAAAGATTTTATACAAAATTAAACCAGGTGAAAATAAATCTATTCCACTTGAGTTCTGGATAGAGCATACTGACAGATGAAAACATTTTTTTTCTGATCTTAAATACAAAATATTTATATTTTTTACAATTTTGATATAATTACTGCTCTAAATGGGTTGCTCTGTCAGCTAACAGCATAATTTAGTCTCTATCCTCCAGTTATACGATTAAATTATTACTAAATTAGTTGATGATTATTTCAATAATCGATTAATCTGATTTATTGTTTTAGCTCTAGTCCAAACACTTAGGCATACTTTTAAGAAGGTGGACATTTTTGATTATTAGCACCTTGCTTGGATGACAGGTCATAGAAAAAAACTTTTATTTAGAAACTAAGGTTAGCATTTTTCTTTAGCTGAAGACCAAAACTATTACGGTAATAGGTACTAATAAACCACTCTGTATCTAACTAGACTGCTCTTAGACAAACTGAGAGTTTAAGTTTAATTACTGGTTCAACTGAAACGAAAAGCCTGCTTTGTTTTGTGAATTCCTCCACATTATCACTTGAAATTTGTTTTAGAAATGATGGCTCCAGCAACACCGATGCGTCGGTGGGTTAGTGTTAGCAGGGTTTGTGCGTCGAACACGTAGAGCAAAACACTGTATCTGTTTGCGTGTTGTTGAAGACAGTCATGTGACCGATACAGGAGTTGTTTTTACTGACTTACACTAAACTGTGTTTAAAAAACGTATCTGTCAACATGATGCATCTGCTAAAATAAATTTTTTTTTTAAAAAGTAATCTTTTTGGGTCTATCATTAAATATCAAGAATTTTGTAGCAGCCTAAAAGGAATACGAACGTTTCAGCCGTTGCGTTTTCATTTTAATATTCTCGCTGTGTCATACTTTTCCTCTCAGTTATACGGAAGAGGATTAGGACCACTGAAAAAACAAAAAAAAGTTAAGATTTTTCTATTTTATTTCCGTATAATACGAGAAAAAAGTCAGAATTCCGACTTTTTTCCTCAGAATTCTTACTTTAATCTCAGAATTTAGACTTTAAATCTCAGACTTTAGACTTTAAATCTCAGAATTTAGACTTTAAATCTCAGAATTTAGACTATAAATCTCAGAATTTAGACTATAAATCTCTGAATTCAGACTTTAAATCTCAGAATTCAGACTTTAAATCTCTAAATTCAGACTTAAATCTCAGAATTTTGACTTTAAATCTTAGAATTTTGACTTTAAATCTCAGAATTCTGACTTTTTTCATCAGAATTTTGGATTTTAATGTAGATGGGCACCATGAAGGAAGAGATGTGGGAGCACTCAGCTTCACTGACAAAGATGTGAGTTGTTTGAGAGGGCCAGTAACATATTGGTAAAAAATGATGATATTAGGGAACTTTTTATGTGCCCGAGGGGTCCCAGGTGATGCTGTTTCAATAATGGAAGAGCAAAAAGGTGATTAAAACAAGAGAGCTAATCTCTAAAACAGACATGGCTACAGTTTGATGCAAACAGGTTTGTTAGCTGTCAGATTTCAGTCAGAATTCAGATATTCTCTCAGAATTCTGAGATTAAAGTCAGAATTCTGACTTTTTTCCCCCATATTAAACTGAAATAATATTTAAAAATCAGTTAACTTTTTTATTTTTTCAGTGGTCCTAATCCTCTTCTGTACAGTTATCACTCAACTTATCTAAATTAAAGTTAATTTCAAACTGACTCTTAGTTTATTTACTGTTTCTACTGCACTTATTGTTTTTAAGTTATTATTTAAAACCCTAGTCCACAAGCATCCTAATTCACATTTCGCCTAAATTGTCACGCTATGATATATGTTAACATCATTAATAGGCTGCATCTTAAAATATCAAAGATATTTTCAATCTAAACACAGATATGAAATAATATAATCTACAATATCATTGTACGAAGCCATCAAATCAATTCAATTAAGCTGCCTCTAGTGTCTTTAAATGTCCAGCAGGTGTCAGTATTCTGTGAGACAGTATCAACGCAGTATAAATACAGTTAAGCAATATGTCGAAACGCTTCAAGATGTCTCATAAACCCATCACTAGTTTTAATACTTATTGGATTCGTCATTTATATTTTATTGCCCTGGAATAAATAGTAAACATAAGCTAACACCGCCTCTAAACAACAGAGAAGCGCCCTGACGTCTCCAGCTAGCTGACCAGCTCCAAGCTATCTGGCTTTATTAACCCACCGACATGTCAACCAGACACCGCTAAGAGAAAAGCTACTCACTGAATAAAGAGATGGTCCAGTTGACGCCATGAGCTTAGATTGTTAGCATACAAAACAAAGAAAAACATTAGCAGGTCACATCTGTAAAAACAACAGGAACATACTTCCGAGGTGCCACATTTTTTATGTTTCGACCTCCACAGAAACAGAAACATTGGTTCCTAGCATACTTTCGGTTTTAATGACCTGGAGGTTAGCAGGGATCTTTATAGATATTTTACCATTGATTGATTTATTGATTGATCATTTATTTCGAACACTTAATAAAAAGCAAATATTAGTAAATTAATAAAGTCATAACAAAACAAAACAAAAAAGAAGAAAAAGAAAAAACGTATGTACATACCATCATGTTCGAAAAGGAGTAGGAAGGAGTAATAAAACGTATTAAATCCTACCCCTGTTTTGAAGAAGAGCCATATCCCTGCAGTTCGAATTAATAAAAGTATTCTAGAGCCGCAAATGTTACATGACCCGTTGAAAATGGCAAATTATAATTTTCAATAAAAGTTAAATATATAAATATATTTCTATAGTTGCATTCCTTTATTTTTAGTTTAAAGTAAGAACAATTTTAAACCCTTGCAAAAAGAAATAAAATTATGAAAAGCTTTTCTTCTATGAAAAAATAATTATGCAATCATTCCATTAAAAAATGATGCTGCATTTGTTGTACCTCTATCTAAAACTGTAAAGCAGGTCATTATTTCTTTCAGCCTAATGTTTTGTGGGAGATCAGACCTCTGTTGGAGTCTGACTCCTGGGCTAGATGCATTAGTGGATTGTTGTTGTTGTCATCCTTTGCTGTTATGATGCAAGTGGATATGCTTGTAATAAGCATAAACCAGTAATCTCCTTTGCAACCTGATTGTTTTCTCAGTGCTTTGTATAACTATTTTGCATATCTAAGCAAACCTCTGTGCCCCCATTCCAGAGGAATTAGCACGCCGTCTGTACATCTGCTTCTTTTTTCATCCGGTTTTTCTAACAGAGCAAGCAAATATTTCTTCATTTTTTCTCATGTGGTCAAGGATTAAAAAAGTAATAATAACAAAGTTACCATCACTAAGAAGCTCATAGCCTTTGAGGTTGGAAAGCCTTTTTTCCATCACCCTAATCTTTAACCCTTGGCCCACATTCAAGTCTTGACTATTGTTGAGTCAGTCCAAAATATATTTATTCCAGTCAGAAGAGAAATGTTGGGTTAGCATGAATAATAATTGGCTTAGGTGTATTTTCCACGTGTCGCAGATCCCTGGTTTGACCTTTCACAAATGGGTAGTTGTATTATTTTCTCTATGATAAAAACAATATTTTTTTGTGCTTCTGATACAACATATATATACGGTATAACAAATGCTTTACAGAAATACAAAAAAAAAAAGCAGATGGCCTGAAAAGGGAACCAGTTCTAGACAACGGGGAACTAATCACGTAGTTCAGTGAAGAAAAGCAGAAAAGCAGAACCAATACAGGGTTCAAAACCTTTTGAAATAACTCCTCACGAGTTAAAAAAAAAACATTTGGAAAAGAGGTGGATCTTTCAAACATCCTCTTAAGCCTTTTGTATGTGGAGTTTGCATCTTCCTCTGCATGTGGGTTTGTGTAATAGTGCTCTTGGTACTCCCTGCAAAAATACTTAGGTGTTCTAAACTAATGCATAGACAAAACCTTTTGAAGGTAAGTCTAGAATTTCAGGGTTAAATATATAACAATAATGTCAGATGCCTTTGGAAAGAAGAAAAGTCAGTTACTGGATATGGCTCCAGTGATTCTAGTCTGAGTTATTTTCAGTAAGAAAACTCTAGTATTACTTTCATAAATATATATTTCACCAAAGTCTAATCACAACAGCATAAAAACGTAAGACTTTTCTGAACTGTTTATAAATACATAGGTGGCACTGCACCAAATGAAAAACACCATGTTGTGTTGCCATCTTTGATCGAAGTAGTCAAAAGGTGACAAACTTATTAGCCTTACACATCTGGATATGGACATGAATTGTTTGTGGAGAGTAAAATAATAAAAAAAATTATACAATAATAGATAATTCTTACTTTTTAAATGAAGGATCAACAATACTCTTTGCTCAGAAATAGGGAAGAAAAACAAAAATGTAACAGAGAAAAACAAGAGTCAATCTTGGAGTAGGTTTTACCAGATGGAGATAATTCATGACGAGGCAGAGCTCAAAAATGGACGAAGAGGTTGCAAGCTTCCTGCTGGACAGCTAAGATAATTCAATATAACACAGATGTTTATTTTGGTGCTGTTACATTTAGGACACTCTGTGGCTTCCGTAGAGTTAGTACACATTAACAGTTTAGCACCGGAGCGAGCCTCTGCTATAGAAAATCAAGTTGATTTCTTAAGACGGAAATTAGGTCAGGCTAAGCAAACACAATTACTTAGCTCTCCACTGATTCTTTCACAGTTAGGCGGCTTAGAAACCAATAGTTTATCGCTGATTCACTTTGGATTCAATGAATGAATGGAAATAAACACCCGCATCCGATTCCATTGTTTTATTGATAAACATACAGTTTTTATAAAAGACAATCAGAGCTCTGTTCCTCAGAGGGGTAACATGGCTGTGAGGTGTTTACACCAAGCTGAGACAGAGGAAGGAATCAGTAGGGAAGCAGCGCTATAGTGATGGAGGCAAAGAAGGAGAGGCTTTAGGATAATTGGATTTGTCATCTAACAACAATAAACTTTATGTTACTGGCTTAGTAGGTATAGAGTGGTTTACTGAGGGGAAAATTTGTGTTAATCAGACATTTGCTGGTATGAAATAGTTTGATTTAATCGCACACTACATTCAGACATGCACGCACTCAAACACACATTGTGCCTTGACCCAAAGGTCAAACTGAGCGTAAAACACCTCAATGTTGCATTCATTACATACATAAGGCACTGATTCAAAAGCAGTATGAGAAGAACGAAAAGCTAAAACATCAAAACAGAAAACACTTTAAGTATATATTAATTAATAACATGCAGACCCATTCTCGTAAAAAGAAATATGAAGACATGTTTGCAAAAGTTTATAAGGTTCATAAACTTTGAAATAAAACTAGAGTATCACCCTCCTTAGCAAACAACACAATAACTTATGTTTTCTTCATGCAGAACTGTAAACACACAACCAAAATGATGAAAATAATGTTAAAAGTTATAGTAAGGTTTAAGAATAGTCAGGCTACTTTAGGTTATTCAACCTAACTCACTTTGCATCACATTTTAAAAATGGGAGTCACATGATCAATCCATATAGGAAGGTGTTAAAGGGCCTTCATTTAGATTCCAGTTTAAGGGTTTACAGTGTGACAAAGGAAAGTTCAGTCATGGATGTACAAGCTGTGTTTCTTCATGTCTGCATCCATTCCACTCACATTAAAAACAGGTGATTACATGTGGGCAGTTGAGAAGTACATCAAGAGTACTTTGTCAACACCGTCAGTCCAGTTCCAGTAAAAAAAAAAAAAAAACAATAACAAAACAAATAGTCAGTTGATTTTGTGCAATTCATGTTATAAACAGAATAATCCAGAGATTCCAGGGCTTTTCCCAAACAGCCAGACTCGTGGTTACAGAGCTGCTGTTTATTCCATCAATGCCTCCAATGTTGTAGTTCCTTTTAATTATTCCCGTCTTATAGAGGAGTGGGCTGACCTCTGCCTGCAAGAAAAGCAAAAGTTTGGTCTCTTTGTGGCGTCGTCTACAGAAATCTTTTAGAAAAACAGCAATGGGAGGCTACAAGAAATCAAATTAGCTCTCACTAAACATTTTTACACCGTGATCCCAAGAGAAGAATAATTACTTTGTAAACTAGAGGCAGTTTGTTGGCATTGTATCAAATGATTCATACAGACTTATATTAAGATATTCAATCATTTATTTGGATCCATCCATCAATAAATATGTGCCAG